GAACTCCAAGGCCAATCTTAGCTGTTGTTCCTTTTATCTCTTGACTCCCTTCTTTAGCATTCCAGTCCCCTATACTGTAATTACAAGAACATCTTTCTTTGGTGTCAGTTCTTGAAGGACTTACAAGTCTTCATAGAATTGGTCAACTTCAGCCTCTTCAGCATTGGTGGTTGGTGCATAAACTTGGATTACTGTGATGTTGAAAGGTCTGCCTCGGATTCTTATTGAAATCATTCTATCATTTTTGAGATTGTATCCCAGTACAGCTTTTCCCACTCTTTTGTTGACTATGAGGGCTACTCCATTCCTTCTATGGGATTCTTGCCCAAAATAGTAGATATGATAATTGTCTGAACTGAATTCGCCCATTCCCATCCAATTTAGTTCACTGATGCCCAGGATTTCAATGTTTATTCTTGCCATCTCCTGTTTGACCACATCCAGCTTACCAAGGTTCATAGATCTTACATTCCAGGTTCCAATGCAGTATTTTTCTTTGCAGCATCAGACTTTCCTTTCACTTCCAGGCACATCTGCACCTGAGCATCCTTTCAGCTTTGGCCCAGCCACTTCATTAGCTGTGGAGCTACTTGTACTTGGTCTCCGCTCTTCCTCAGTAGTATGTTAGACGCCTTCCAGCCTGAGGGGCTCATCTTCCAGCATCATATCTTTTAGCCTTTTGTTTCTCTCCATGCAGTTTTCTTGGTAAAGATACTGGAGTGGCTTGCCAGTTCCTGCTCCAGGTGGATCGTGTTTAGTCAGAACTCTCTACGTACTATGGATCTGTCCGTCTTGGGTGTCCCTGCACGGCATAGCCCATAGCTTCTCTGAATTACTTGAGCCCCTTCACCACGACAAGGCAGCAATCCATGAGATGTAATGTACTAGGGAATACTAAAGTATGGTTGTTGAATGTTTCCGTGTGCAGTTCCTCTCCATGTATGGCGGATAAATTTGGATACTCCTGAGGAGGCCAAGCAAAATCTTTCTTTTGGTGCTGCTGATCGGTGGTGGGAGCAAACTGATCTCACCAAACTAATCTTATCATCCAACAAACTGAAGTGTCTTTCTGATGATGTCAGACTCTTGCCTGCGCTCACTGTGCTGGATGTGAGTACAGAAATTTTGAAGAATATTAATTTCACATTATGTAATATATTGTTGAAGATGGGTAAAATAGGCCTCTTCAGTTCTGTGAGTGGTCATAGTAGCCCAGATGCCGGGGGAAACAGATGGGCAATATATAATTTGAACAAATATTAGAAATTGATTTGGATGAGAGTTTTGTTGAGGTCTCTGAGGTTGAGAGGTATTTATCTTCAGCAGGAAAAATATGTGTCTTTGATACGTCCAATACAGTGGCGCCTTGCTTAGCGATTGCCTTGTTTAATGATGTATTTGCTTAGCGATGAGGTTTTTGGAGCGATTTTGCACTCCGTTTAGCAATGTTTCCTATGGGGAAATTTTGCATAGCGATGTTCGGGACCTTGCCTCGCTTAGCGATGACAGTTTAGGTCCCCCTGTTTTGCTTAGCGACAGCTGTCAAACCTACAGTTCAATGCATTCCAGTGGGGGGGGGGAACTCACCAAAAATTAACAAAGAGTCAGAAAAAGCTAAATTAAGTTTGCAAAGGTTTTACAAGGTGCACTAATGATCCCAAGCATTTAAAACAGTTTTTGAACATTTTAAGACACTTTAAAAATAGCGAAAACTGACCTGTCAAAACCATTGAAATGCATTGAAACCTATTCAATGAATTCCAATGGGGGAACCGTGTTTCGCTTAGCGATGTTTCTTATGGCGATTTTTGCTTAAGGATGGTAATCCGTTCCCATTGGAACGGATTATCCGGTTTTCAATGCATTCCTATAGGAAATGGTGTTTCGCTTAGCAATGTTTTCCCATAGCAATGTGGTGTGTTTTTTTTTGAACCAATTAACATCGCTAAGTGAGGCACCACTGTACATAGGTAGTAACTTTATGGTCAGGATTAGAAAAGATTCAGGAATAGATCTGCAACATGATGAGCCACTATGATGTAGAGGCTAGAGCAACGATAGCAAACCTAAGGCATCCATGCCACAGCTGGCACGTAGAGCCCTCTCTGTGAGCATGCGAGCCATAAGTTGCTGGATCGCTACCCCCAGCAGCCAAACCTGAGGAGGTGCCGCTGCGATGCTAGTGCCCCAACAGATGGGGGGCCAGGATCCGGAGCAGCTGGTGCTGGCAGCGGCGGTCCATCCGAGCTATAGGCAGTGGCGGGGTTGGGCACGACTGAGACAGATCTGGAGTGGGCTCTGGAGGCACCTCTGTGCCCAAGATTCCCCCTTCTGCCACCACTTCAGCTGCTGCTGTTTCTGCCTGCCACCCACTGGATTTTTTTTCCAGTTTGGGCACTCAAGTTCAAAAAGGTTTGCCATTACTGGGCTACAATGTCTGATTAGGTTGTGGTGTCCCAAGGTCAAATCTATGCTTAGTCCTCTGATTTCCTTAGGCTGTTTCACTTGTAGGACTTTTGAGACAGTATAATCAATTCTTCAGGTTGTCTGGGGAAAGGTGGGAGCAAGAAGTAATGAAGCTGGCTGAATGGAGGTCTCAAAAATTCTAGATGGAATTCTGAATCTTGAGCATTTGACACAACACTGGTTTCTTTAAATGAAAACTGTTAGGTACAGGTAGATGAAGAGATGAATCAAAATTTAAAGAGAAATGTGCCTGTCTGAAACAGATACAGTGGACCCTTGACCTACGGAATTAATCCGTATTGGAACGGTGGCCGCAGGACGAAAAGTCCATGGGTTGATGGTCCATTTCCCATAGGAATGCATTGAAAACCCTGTAATCCTTAACCGGCCTAAGAACTCCCCACCCCCAAATAAAATAAAGACACCTTACCTGTCCAAAGCCTTCCAGTGGTCCCCCGCCACCCCTATCGCCGCTGCCCGAGGCCTCTGAGGGCTTCCCCGCCACTGCCGGAGGCATCTCGGAGGTCCCTCACTGCTGCCATTGCTGCTGCCCGAGGCCTCCGAGGGCTTCACCGCCATAGCCGGAGGACTCTTGGGAGGTCCCCCGCCCCCATGATGCAGGCTTTCCCAGGCTTCCCCCGGTAGGCCCAGTCTACTGCATGGGAAAGCCTGGTAGACCGGGCCTAGCAGGGGAGGGCTTCCCCCAGTAGGCCCAGTCTACTCCCTGGGGAGTTTTCGAGGTACTTTTTCGTACCTCGAAAAGTACGCACGTCAAGCCGTACGTACGTCGAGGGTCCACTATAGTGAGGCAGAAATATGGTTATGCATCTGTATCTCTGAACTATACAGAAGATAGTTTTCAGTGTAAGCATGCTTTCCCCCCTTATTCCCCTCTATCATTTGACTTCACTTGATGAAACGGATGGAAGAAATGACTGGAGAAAAAAAAATAGGAATTTTGGCTTGGGATGTATCGCACTGTCCTTGACCAATATTCATATTTCTAAATGCTATGCTTTCTGGCATGTTACCATTTATTTCTTTCATTTTCTGAATCAATAAATGTCTTGACTTTCTTTTTTCATTTTAGGTTCATGATAATCAATTGACATCTCTTCCTTCTGCTATTGGATCACTAGAAAACCTTCAGAAGCTTAATGTGAGGTAAATCTATTGTACAAACATATAAAAGGTGTTTTCAGAATGCAAACAGTGGCCAGAATCCTTTTGGGATCTTAGTGTGGAGCAACTGACATCGTGTAAGTTGAAGAGGCAAATTGTGATTAGTTAACAAAGTGCCACTCATGTGCTTGGTTGCTTGCCCAGTTGTGTGACTGACATGTAGGTAGGCATATAGCTGATATCTTGATTACTTGCATCATAGCACCAAGCCATATGTCATTTCACTTACTCCATGACAGGACTGATTACTTTAAAAAGTTAGGTTAAATATGAAAATATAATTTTCTTGCAGAAAAAAAATAAGTGGGTTGGACTACTGCAGTAAAACCAGCTCCTTATAGCACCAACATTTGTAGCCATCATTCTGCTTTGTTTGTTCAAATTGGCCACATTCTCTTGTCTTTTCAAGTTCATTTGTACATGTGTGTTATGAAATCAGCTCCACACGGCTCAGTGGGGTAATTTCCCATGCATAGAAGCCTTCATTGTTATATTACAGAATGTAATTCTTGAAAAAAGGGAATTGATTAATAAGTCAATAAGAGTATATGATACTGCATAGTATCATTGACATACATCCTAAAGGTCTCAGATAGGCTTCCATAAACCTACAAAATAAGCTAATCAGTCAAGTTTCATCATAATTCCTAGTGCCTTTTTACTCTGGATCTGAGATATTGTGTCCATTGTAAATAGAACATAGTCCAATGTTCATTTTTTAAATACCATATGTACTTGTACACCTGGTTTTTAAGCTGCTCCAAGTCTGTTACTGTAATTTGTCCATAAAGAGTGTTTTTAATGTACAAAAGGTAAAGAGAACACATGCCCAGATACTGTAAGGCAGGGGTCCGCAGCCCGGTACTGGGCTGTGGCCTTGGCAGGACTGGCCCACAGAGAAGGATATCCCGCCCCCCCGTGCACGCCCACCCACACACATGGCCCGCCTACCCGCATGGGTGCCCCACCCATGTGTGTGACTCCCCCACAAATGGGCCTCACCCCCAACCAGTTTGCGGTTTAGGAAAGGTTGTGGACCACTGCTGTAAGGCACACTCAGAAGAACTGATGTGAAATCCTTTTTTAGAGAAAAGCTAAACTTTCACCAGGTTTTTTTTTTTAGTTAGAGGTTTTAACTGTATCTTTGTAATGGCTGATACCTGAAGTTCTACAGGTGTCTCCTAGTTTAAAATAAAATATATTAGTATTATGACTAATGTCCTTGGTATTCTCTTAGTTATTTATCAATCTTCTGTTTAGTTCAGGCATATAACTTTCATATTTCAGAAGAAAGTTCAAAATGTAACACACATTTTAATATGCAACAAACTAAATTTAAAATAAATTATTCATTCTTTCAACCATAATGCTAGGATGAATATCTCGAACCAATTGTACTGTGCTGTAGCTTTTTAGAATAAGCTTACAAATAACCACTGCATTATGGCAAGAAAGGAGACCTTTTGTCAGTTGCCTCCCTCCCCCAGATAGGTTTCAGATGACTTAAAATTAAAATTTTATATATGCGTTCAGGGAAGCTGATAATATTCTAGATGATAACACATAAATCAGAAAATAGACATAGGACTCACATATTATTGGTATGTGTGTGGACAGATAGGGTAGTGAAGCATCTTGTGGGCTTATTACTTTTGTGGACTTGTTTGTCTACTCAGGAATAAGTCAGAATTAATTCACTGCGGTTTATTCCAAATTAAATAAGTACAAGGTCGCAGCCTTACTTGACAGGCT